AAGAACAAATCATGTCAAACCAATCTGATAGCTTTCTTTGGATAAGGGAGAAGCGGTGGATGTGGTATACCTAGACTTTAGTAAGGCGTTTGATACGGTCTCGCATTATATTCTTATCAATAAATTAGGCAAATACAACTTAGATGGGGCTACTAAAAGATGGGTGCATAACTGGCTGGATAACCGTACTCAGAGAGTAGTTATTAATGGTTCACAATCCTGCTGGAAAGGTATAACAAGTAGGGTTTCTGTTTTGGGACCACTTCTCTTGAATATCTTCATCAACGATTTAGAATTGGCTTATTAACTTTGCAGATGATACCAAGCTGGGAGTGGTTGCAACTGCTCTGGAGGATAGGGTCATAATTCAAAATGATCTGGACAAATTGGAGAAATGGTCTGAGGTAAACAGGATGAAGTTTAATAAAGACAAATGCAAAGTGCTCCACTTAGGAAGGAACAATCAGTTTCACACATACAGAATGGGAAACGACTGTCTAGGAAGGAGTACGGCAGAAAGGGATCCAGGGGTTATAGAGGACCACAAGCTAAATATGAGTCAACAGTGTGATGCTGTTGCAAAAAAAGCAAACATGATTCTGGGATGCATTAACAGGTGTGTTGTGAGCAAGACATGAGTAGTCATTCTTCCACTCTACTCTGCGCTGGTTAGCAAGAATGATTAAAGGTATAGATAATATGACCTATGAAGGAAGGCTGAAAGAATTGGTTTGTTTAGTTTAGAAAAGAGAAGACTGAAGGGGGACATAATAGCAGTTTTCAGATATCTAAAAGGGTGTCATAAGGAGGAGGGAGAAAACTTGTTCATCTTGGCCTCTGAGGATAGAACCAGAAGCAATGGGCTTAAACTTCAGCAAGGGAGGTTTAGGTTGGACATTAGGAAAAAGTTCCTTACTGTCAGGGTGGTCAAACACTGGAATAAATTGCCCAGGGAGGTTGTGGAATCTCCATCTCTGGAGATATTTAAGAGTAGGTTAAATAAATGTCTATCAGGGATGGTCTAGACAGTATTTGGTCCTGCCACAAGGGCAGGGGACTGGACTCGACCTCTTGAGGTCCCTTCCAGTCCTAGTATTCTATAATTCTATGAAATTCAGTGTATTACTGAAGGGAGCAAGAAGTTTAAAATTATATCCTGATCCTTAAAATTATATCCTGATCCTTAAACAATTGACGCCAAGCACTCCACCAACTCTAAAAGCGAGTAGTACAGCCCCCAAGTCCTTTCAGTTATTAATCTCTCTGCTGAAACAGCTAACTAATTCAACAGAAAAAAAAATGCGGTGAGGGGAGAGTTACAGGAATGACCATTTGTACCTTTACTTTATGAAAATCAACAGCAACCCTTCCCCGCACTCAGATGTTTTATTAACCATGAATCAAATTTTCTATTTACTATAATGTCCACTCATTTTGATTCTGATACAGTACATGCATTTAATGGGTTGCATTCTGATGTCTAGTTTCTCACTTTAAATGGAATCTAGAAGAATAATTTGCACAATATGAAGTATACATTACTGTCGCCGTTAATTACAACTTTTAAAAGTGAAGATAACCCATCTTTTGATGTTCAAATTCAATTTCAGAACTTCACAGTAGCATCAAGAATGCATCAAGTAGAAAGAGCAGTCCTGGAGAAAGGGAAAGCTTGTTTCAAAACAAAGGTGAGAAATACAATGGCAAGATTTCTCATTTAAAAACAATGTGTTTGAAAGCTATCCATAAGAACACATTTTAGAAGAGAGTGATGTAAGGCATTGGTGGGTGACCCTTTATTTTTTGTTCCTTTTTTCCTTCTGAATGTTCTTACTGATTTTGCCAATATAAAAATAGATGTGTATATACTTCTGCTACTTAACATGGCATACATACTTATGTCCTAAAACTTTAACAAAAAGAGCACTCACTATATTACCAGAAAAACACACACATATAGATGAATTAGTCCATTATTCAATTTAATCAGCATGTAATGTGTGTTTGCTTGATCTGGTCTGTCTGAGCAAAGTAATTTTGTTATTGAAAGAAAGATACTCTGACCTAATAACAACTGAGATAATGAAAGCACTACTGAACTAATATTCATGAACAAGATGAAAATGAAATGCAAAACAGATTGTTGACCCAAAAGTGACCAAGTCTCCCTGAGCAGTGAAAAATTTCAGAAAGCAGCTAAGGGAGGTAAAATGGGAAGTAAAATAAAGAAAAGAATATTATAATACAGACAGGTTTTATAAACCGGTTCTGCACATAGTGCAGATCCTTACTAACAAACCATACACACAATCTTTTTTCTTATTCTTAGGTCTCAAGACAAGCTGCACTAACTATGACAATTTCTTTTTTCCAACTAATTTGAAAAAAACTTAAAAACCTGTATCTTTAGTCCCTTACCTTTTAGTGTTCACATGACAAGTTAAAAACTTTTACCCTCTAAATAGCTGTAGCCACAAATTTGCATACAGTACATAACATTACTAAGGAATAAAAATGTAAATTAATTTAGCTCACCTGATTTCTGAAGATCAGTGCCACAACTCCTCCAATCAATTCAATGAAGAGACAAATACCAAGGATGTACATGAACTGCAAAATGTAATGGCAAAAAACACCTAAATAAGCTTAGAAGCAATTTTCCTCTGTTTTTCCTTCAATTATTCTACTTAACCTACAACATACTGAACAATTTTCTAAATCTCCATGTACTTTTGAAAGATAACAGGAAAAAATCAAGGTTATCACGGAATAAGTTTATAGATATAAACTGTTTGTGGTTTAAGAGATCCTTTTCTCCATGTTACTAACTGAACCTTTTTTGATTTGGAAATACTGATTTATTTTCCTGTTTTCAACTCAACTAAAATTAACATAGCTTTTTTAACATTCACATTGCATTTATCATGCCAAAACACCTCTTCCACTCTCCATATCACTATTGTAGCTCTTGTAATAGCATATTAATGAACTGCTAAAAATACATAATATTATGTTTGTATGCTTCCTGAAAAGATCAGTAATATTCAAAGTCAGCCAAATTTTGAGAGGGTCAGATGTTCACCACCACGACCACAATTCCTTTTTTCCAAAACATGAGAGCAAAAATTAGTGCTGTGCTATGTGACTAGCGCATCAGAAATGTTTTACTTCCTGCTTCTGATCTATTCCTTCCTTTCCCAATCCCCAAACAGGAAAACACAATGTGTCATTTGCGAACACATGCACATACCAAGAGTAAACAAGGCTAGAAGAAAACACTGCACACTGTGCATATTAGTAAACTGAGTTTATTCAGACTGTTGTGAACAACCAGGAACCACTATAGTTTCAAGTCCTTTCCTTGCTAGAGACAGAATTAGTCTAAGAAAAAACCACCAAGAGCCTTCATTATTCAAATCCACAAGCAACAGCAAGAATGGTAAGGTTTCCTGCCATAGAATGGGAAGCAATACAGCTGTATAATTAGAGACTATGATCACACAACCTCATATTCTCAGCAGTTTTCTCTGTATCTATATGGCCCAGAGTTCAATGCCTTCCGAGTCAATTTCCAGTGAACTTTTAAAAACTGCAGTCACCCATCATTTTAGCCTACGATATGAATCACATTTAACTATTCCATAAACTTAAAATTTGGCAGGTGAATAATAATTATGTTTGTATGCTGTTTATGAGCACAACACTGGGCAGGGTGAACGAAATTCCCCTCAAATAGCTACTCATTCTTTCACAGAAATAGCAGAGAAATACTAGATTACTGCTGTTTCCATCTCAGCTCTAAGATTCTGAGGAACTATGTGCTAAAATGCCACCAATATACTGATTACACAGTTGTACATCTTCTCATTGTAGCCCATAGAACCATTCCCCTGTTTCTCCAATGAATGGTAGACTGAAATTTGAATGCAAGCCAACTTGTTTAGACTCAATCTGAGGCTGCCATCTCCTCAGAATGCTTCTCCTGACCACTACCCCTCAGTTAATGCCTTAATCCAGAGGTTCTCAAACTTCATTGCCCTGCAGTCCTATCCTGAAAACAAAACATGATCTCCGTAGGAGGAGCAGAATCCTGAAGACCCAATCCCCAGCAATTCTAAGCCAGCTCTGATGACCCCATTAAAATGGGCTTGCAATCCACTTTGGGGTCCAAATCCACAGTTTGAGAACCACTGCAAAATTCGGCTATAAAAGTTGTTCACAGTTTCAAGCTTCTTTGTTCAGATAGCAGCACTGGCCAGGTATTTTTTTTCTTTTTTTTTCAACTGCCTAAGAGATTGTGCAGGTTCCTCTCAAATGCAGTCCTTGCCACAATACATGCCTTTGCTACCATCAGACTAGACAAATGGCACACAGTGTATCCAAGGCTAAATGTAACTTTCAGCCACTGCAATCCATTTTGGTTGCCTAGTCATAATTTGGGATATTAGCTGTAAATCCCTTCATTACATAGGTTCTAGTTATCTCACCAAAGACTGATTATTCTCCCAGGTGTTATGGTTTTTGTTTAACAACAAAAACACACAGAAATAAGGCTTTGGCTATCTCTTTCAAGAGTGAAGCTCATACAAGTTTGAAGGAGAGCATTCATAGTGGTGAACCCTCTAGAATTAGATACCACCAAGCATTCACTGGCTTTTAAAGTGTGACATGTATCCCTTTCTTTAGCTTTTTTCTAGTTGTAAGCCCTGGAGTCTCTTAAAACAGTTTATTTACAACTGTAATCTGACATAGCTCACTCCGTTTATTGCTACAAAGGTCTGCAAAGAATATGTTCTTTGTTTTTAGAAGATGTTTGGTTCTAATCTCAAGATATATAAAATGAGTCCAGATACTATGATGATGGGAATCTTATTACCTTACTACTAATTAGAAAATATTGCAAGTATTTATCATATTTACTCTACTTGAAGTAAACAACCTAATCTTTACATATTTGACATTTATTTGCTCATCATTTGTTCACTTATGGTACTAGGACAAGATTTTTAAAAATGCTCAAAATTGGCTGAACTCTGCACCCACAGAAGTCAATAATATCTCAGCAGCAATATAGCTGGACCAATGCTGAGCACTTGTGAAAATCACATTTGTATGAGGGATGTTAAATTTAGATTAATTAACTAATCGCATAGTCTATGGGATTTCCATTGACTATTCCATTAGTCTATAAGAGCACCTCCATCTTTGAACTGTAGCAAGTAGACTACGAGGCTCTTGCTACAGTTCAAAAGCAGAAACCCCTCAGGGCTTGACATGTACTAGAGCAGGGGTGGGCAATATTTTCTGGCCGGGGCCTCTTCAAAGTGCCTTGCGCTTCTGGCAGGGCAGGAGGAGACTTCACATGCTCCACCGCCCTTAAGCCCTGATCAGCCTGGGGGCAGGAGGAGCGCATGAAGTGTCCTCTGCCCCCAGGCCAATCAGAGGTTGGAGGTGGAGGAGCACACAAAGTTTCCTCCATGCTGCTAGGAGCATGCGGCACTTTTCTAAGTGGCTTACTGCTCGCAGGGCAGGGGTAGGGCAGAGGAAACTTCGGCTGTGGCTCTTGTACATGTCAAAAGCAGAATCACAGCAGAAGCAGCGCGAGCGGAAACTGCTTCAGTCTCCACTCGCACCATTTCCCGCTGTGCCTCTACCTCCCCTGCCCTTACAGAGAAGGTGCTGGGGGGAACCGGCTTTTAAGCCAGCTCCCCCCAGCACCGGCTCCTGCTCCCCCCTTTGCTGCCTCTCTCTGATAGGGGCAGCAAGGGGGGAGGAAGTAACTAGTCGCATCACTAGTCGACTAGTCTCTTACATCCCTAATTTGTACACATTAAATATTAATCCAAATGACTCATTACAAAGGTATCCATGCAATGAAATATTCATTTGAATATTACAATTTTATGTTTAATTGAAGAAAGAAAAGTGAGTTTATTTTATTGCTTCTTAAGAGTTGAGTGTAACAGCCTTGCTATACATAGTTTCTCTCTGTTATTGAATTGAAGAAGAGGAAAAATACTGTGTTTTATACAATGTTCTAAAAGATTCATGGTGCAACACTTACGGGGGTTGAGGTCAAGTAATATTTACAAATATAAAAACTATATAATGCCTCATAAAAAAACTAGAGTACTTACTGCTTGAAGAAGGCATATGTTGTCCCTTAAAGAAGCCAATACACCCACAAAGGATACAAGAAACATTACAATGCCCAAGAGTATTAGAATAATTGCTGGGGCTAGAAAGGCACTTTCAAGGGTTTTATACTTCTGTCTTTCAACTTCAGCATAAATTCCAACAGCAAGAACAAGTGCCCCTATCAGCTGAAATGAAAAAAGAAAAATGGTTGTTTTTTCTTAAATAGGTGTAATTTGATTACAGGCAGTCCCCAGGTTACATGGATCCGACTTACATCGGATCCCTACTTACAAACGGGGTGAGGCAACCCCGCACTAGCTGCTTCCCCCCAGCAGACCAGGGAGACGCGGAGCGGCTTTTCTCAGCAGACACCTCAACTTGAGAATAAAGGACTGAGGGAAGAGAGGTGTGGGAGAATAAAACTGAGCTCTGGAGAAATGTTTGGCTAGAGTTTCCCCTACAATATGTACCAGTTCTGACTTACATACAAATTCAGCTTAAGAACAAACCTACAGTCCCTATCTTGTACGTAACCCGGGGACTGCCTGTAATTGTATTAATTTGTCTTTTTCACTATCTGATATATACAAGTATTTTCACTAATTGTTTACCGCTACAATTACTATGCACTAGATTAAGGGAAAAAACTGGTCTCTAAATTTACCTAATATAATGTTCTCTTTGTATATCACATAACCCCCAAATTAAAGTACATTGCAAGCAATAAGTTCAAAATGGCTTGTACATAGTTAATTGTTTGCCATCACTTCATAGCAATAGAATTATTATGAAAAGCTGATTTAAAATATTTATTGGAGCTCCTGCCAATTCAATTTTTCTACAAGGTGATTGCATATGGACTCTTTATCTATGAACACATGTATTTGATCACAGCTTTTATTACTCTTCTTAAGTTTTATCTACACTAGCACTTTTGTCAGTAATGCTTTTGTCTGTCAGTGTGAAAAAATGCACCCATGACTGAGGCTGTCTACACTGGGAAGGTTTGGTGACAAAAAAGTGCTATTGACATGCAAAAGTGAAAAATGGTCAAACTGTTTTTTCTGCATCCCATTGTTGACATTTCCTTGCTACATTGGTAGCTCCCCTGTCATCAGATAGAGCAAAGCATTGTGTACTCCACAGTGCAGTGAGAGAAGGCATTCTCAGCTGCTGGGAGCAACATCACCAGTAGCTCTGTGAGCTCTCCATGCTGAGGAATGTCAAAAGCAATCTCTCAAGAACAGGAGCATTCTAATGATTTTCTGTTTTTGTTTATTCCCCAAAGGGTGCAGTTCACTCAGCTGTCAAACTTCCTGGAACAGCAGAGATCACAAAACAATGAGCACAACCATCAGGGCAGGCATTGTGGGATACTGATGGAAGCCAGTTCTCTCAACGAAACAAACAGCAGAGTCCACACTGGCTTTTTGTCGACAATAAAGGGAGGGCAAAAGACAAAAGTCTCTTGCAGGGATGGAATTTTTTTGTCACCAAAACTGAGTGTTTTTCCTAACAAAAGTTGCATTGTAGTGTGTATGCTTTCACTGTTTTGTCAACAAAAGGCAGTTTTTGGCGCCAAAACATGCCAATGCAGACAAGGCCTGATACAAGTGTTTGTTGTAGGCAGCACTACATTGGCAGGAAATACTCTTCCTCCAAAGTAGCTACCGCCACTTGGTGGTGGTGTTTTAATTCTGCCAACAGAAGAGCTTGGCAAAGAGCAGTTGCATGAGAGACCTTACAGGGACACAGCTGCAGTGATACAGCTGTTCCACTGTAAGGTCTGTGATGTAGACGTAGTCAATAATCTTATGTAACTTCCAAGATCTTTGCAAGTTCTTGAACTTCTTGCTGCCACAGCAAATCTCACCCACACAACACTTCTATAGATGGTGTGTGGCAGGGTGCAGCAACCCCGCACGCAAGGGGAGATAGGGGGTTCCCCAGGAGAAGGGACTCCCGGGCGGGGATGCCCATGGGAAAGCCACCAGAGCAACCACGCAGGATCCAAGGGAAGGGGACACCCAAACCCGACCAGACTCCGGCGCTGAGAATGCCAGGGAGGCGAGCCAGGTGGCGCATGTGGATGACGTCAACGCTGTGCAACTTGACCCTGGGGCACCGGGTGAGGACGTCAGAGCCAAGCGCAACAGCTCGTCGACACTGAACAATGACGCCACATGCTGAGACGGCAGGACACTGAAAAGTAGACCCGGGGACGCTGGAGTGGGGGAGAAGGTCCTCACAGGAGCCGGGACAGGAACCCGAGGGAGCAGAGACCTGACACCGAGTGAGGTGACTCGGACCCCGGGACCACTGGGGGGATGAAGGGGCTGAGGTGACAGAGTAGGAAGTGACCCAGGGCGGGGCTGCAGAACCCGAGAGCGGGTGAGTTTAGGGGTTACTACCCCACCTGCTGGACAGGGAGCACTCTCCCTGCCTTAGGGCTCTGGGTTGGGACTCCGGAGAGTAGGCGGGCCCAGGTCCCCCAATGCCCCCGAGGCATGACCAGCCGGTGCGAGGAAGACCCGAGCTAATTTGGGACGGGATACACTGTGATGACTCAATGGAATTTGGGTAAGGGGGAGGGGAAGGGGGAGGTACACAATAAAGATGTCTCTAGAGAATCCGACACAGTGTTCTCAACCTTGTAGTGGTGTACTTGACACTAGTGTCTTTTTCTATGTATGCATTAACACTTATCACTGTATTGTTGAATTCAGCTAATAAATAACTGATTCAATCATACTGAATTCAGTCTAACACCCTTCCCCCAATTCAGAGTACCTATTGTATCAGGCAGTTTATGACTCACAGAAGAGAAGAGAAAAGACAGACAATGCTTATTCAGCTTAGTATTTACCTTAAGAGCCTTTTTCTACTGTAGCTATTTTTAATTGCTTTTACATCTTTAGAAGGCTGATCTCTAATGTTAATTTAGCTTTCAAAAAGTAAAATGTTTTGACTTATCTGTTATAAATGATTATGATAATTCATATTACTCTAGCTTATATGAAACTTAGGAACATTAGCAAACAATTCAAAGAACCTGTAATAAACCTTGTAACAGCAAATGTATATTAGAAGATTTGCAAAGTTCATTAATTTTAAAAGAATTACTATGCAATATAGAATTTTTAATCTTATTCTAGGAAAAAGTTTATACTAACTAATGCTTTGAGGTTATTGCAGTTTATAAAAATGGGAAAATAGTTTGCTAAAAGCCAATAACAGAACACACAATTTATCAGTCCTGTGTTTATTTAAAATTAGTCTCTCAACACTTGAATACAATTACATGTTTTTTCAACTTCTCTCCTTTAACAGTGTCTCGCCAATAATCTTGAACACCAACTTACTGGAAAAATTGCAAGCTTTTCGGCCATTATAGCATAAATATATTAATATAACTAATAATCTTTTATCAAATAAGTTTTTTCTATTACATGGTGCTGCTACATAGGTTTAAATCTGAATTTGATTAAATCAGCACTTTTAGATTTGCCATGTTTTCAAATGCCTACTTTACATGCTGACCATATGAAAGCCTCTTACAGCACCTCTGTTAGGACTGTGTCAGTTTTTCCATTACAAACTCCAATTTTCAGGGACTTAAATCTCAACAATAAAATCTACTCCAGAGTAAAATCTGGTAAATCCTGATTTTAAGAGGAATAAGGGATCTTCCGGAAAAGGCTTTATTTTCTGAAAGATCCCGTCTAGACTGGCGCTTTTCTCCGGCAAAGCCCCGAGCCGGAAAAAAGCAGCAGCCATGTTCATGCAAATGCCGCGGGGGATATTTAAATCCCCCGCAGCATTTGCAATTCCGACTTGTCTCATTAGCATCCCTTTTTCGGAAAAGGGTGCCAATGTAGACACAGCCTTGGTATACTCTCCTAAGAAAAGCTGGTTGGTAGAATTTAACACACACTACCACAAGCAACTACACACAAAGACCCTGTAGTATACAGCAGGAACGGGCAATAATTTTTCCAAGGGGACCACATCACCATTTTATGTGGTGGTCGTGGGCCAAGACCACTGTCAGAAAAGGCACATCCTTACGTGGAATGGGCGAGACCTTAGATAGAAGGGGTGGTTCTCTCCAGGCACTGTGTGTCCATGGCAGGGAGAGGAGACTTCTCCCCCACTCATATCATAGAATCTTAGAACCACAGAGCTGGAAGAGACTTCAAAAGGTCATCAAGTCCAGCCTCCTGCTCTAGGCAGGACCAATCCCAACTAAATCAACCCATATCTCCAGGCCCCATTTGCCTGGGGGCAGGAGAGTGCACAAAATCTCTCACCCCCCCCCCCAAAACCCAGCCAGGGGTGCATGGCCCCTAAGGGAACCACCAGTTGCTTTGAACAGCTGGCGGTTCCCACTGGTGTCGCGCACCCCTGGCAGTAGGAGGAAACATCGTGCACTCCCGTCCCCAATCCAATCGAGATCTGGGGGTGGGGGAGTGCACAAAGTCATTTGCTGTTCAAAACAGCTGGTGGCTCCCTCTAGGTGACACATGCTCCTGGCAAGGCGGAGGAGAAGAGCCACCAGCTGCTTTGAACAGTGAATGACTTCATGCACTTCCCCATCCCGATTGACCTGGGGGTGGGGCTGCCGCAGGCTGGATCAAATGGCTTGGCAGGCTGCATCCAGCTCACAGGCCATATCTTGCCCATCCTTGGTATACAGTGTTTAAGATGTCCTCAGCTGTCAACATCTAATCAAACCAGCAAGTTTTGAGGGTTTGATTTGCCTAATAGCTGAAATACTTGTCAAGCAAGTATATAATTTATACAAGGGTGTGCAAAGTGGTGGGAATATGAGTCAGAGTTAAGTTTATTTGTGGAAACTCACATTTGAATACCCTAGTTTTCAGAAGTTTATTGTTTTAACACTAGCAAATTCTGTTGAGAGATTTTTTTTCTTGGAAAAACAATGAATAATCTAGTAGCACCTTAAAGACTAACAAAACATGGAGATGGTATCAAGAGCTTTCATGGGTTTTGCCCACGAAAGCTCACAATACCATCTACTTAAGGTGCTACTAGATTATTCTTTTTTTTTTTTAATGTTTTTCTAGTTACAGACTAACTTGGCTACCCCTCTGAAGCTTTTTTTCTTGAATTATTGATCCATATTTACAAACCAAACTACATCTAAAGAATTGTCTGGCAGCAATAATATATCAGACTTTTCATATCTGGTGATGATACCTAACTAATAAACAGCAGAACCATACAACACAATGCACTTTTGTCTACTTAATCCTGCACTCTGCCCACCCAGCTCCTCCCAGACTATTTCAGATATTCCAAATTTAGAAGTTTCAGTTATTTTCCTTTATTAAATCAACATACCACACAAATGCTTCCTTTCATCCCACTCCCGAAATGGTTACACTGGCCTCACTGAGAACCAGAATGGACACCATTCAGTGTTGTGAAAATGACAGGTTTAAGATGCGTCTCGGACCCCGTAAGAGTCAAAATGTGAACTATACCTCAAGGGATAGTCTGAGATTTCTAACAGGTCATACAGCACTTACTTCTCATTCTGGAAGGTTCCAGCATTTTGCACTTCAAGGTAAAGGTTGAATCTCTCTAGTCTGGCATTCTCGCACTTCAAGGTAAAGGTTGAAAATCTCTAGTCTGGCATTCTCTGGTCTAGCAATAGCCATGGTCTGGCATGATTTTAGTTAGCTGGAGTTATCATGAGTGTGGCCAATTTTCCCATAATCCCATAAAGTTTTATTAAAGCCACCAGTCCTGTCTCTATTATTTAGCTTTAATTTACCCCTAAATGTCTTGTAAGACCCCAGTAAGCAGTGGAAGTGTTGATAATGCTGCTAGACAATATTGACCTCCACAGTTCAGCAAATTCTCTGGTTTAGCACCAGTCAGGTCTCAAGGGTGCCAGACTAGAGAGGTTCAACCTGTAGTAGTGCTTGTCAGATAAAGTATTACAAACTTGGTCCCATTAAAACTTAAACTCTGTAGAACATTTCTAAAATATTTATTCTGCAAAATTTGAAAAAACTGAAAATTTATCATGTGGGAGCTAAAAAGCATTTATTGGCACTCATTTGTAGCTCTGCCATTTAGAAGTAATGCAAGTTTCCCACAATCATGCTAATAAAACATTTACCCTGTACCGTCATGCAAAACACACATATTCCATACTGTATTATACAGACTTTTTTGAGTAGCGGGAATTCCAGAATAAAAAACAGACGCATTATTAAAAATCCTTGTGCATTATATTTAGATTAACTTGTAAATTTTTGAAATATGATTTTTTAAAATCCTAGATTAGCATTAATATACAGATCAAAATGTAGAACGTGACATCCAGCGATGTCATTACTTGTATAAACTTGTCCGCCTGGGCACTTCTGACACACCAGAGAAATAATTTGTTGTAAAACGTGCATAATAAATCAGCTTTATTACTGTACTCATTATTTCTACTATATTTAAAATAATCAAAAAACAAAACTCACAGCCTAGATGGCTAAAAACAACAGCATCATTACTTTGCCTCAACCAAGATGTAACAATTTGGGAAAGGTTGTTAGCCCCTCATGCTCATTCTTTCCTGCTAATGTTGATCCTTTTCCTCCTTCCAGCTGCTACTGAAGTCCAAAAGAACACACGGATAACCATAAAGACATAAGTATATTTTGCATTCTGTATACTTCAGAACTGAATTTAAATTTGGTAATTCATATTTTATTATACCAGATGTGCCTTGATTTGTATTAACTGAATATATATCACCAAATGATAGGAACAGCCTCTGTATTATTGTGTGTGTGGAAAAGGGTGGAGTCACTTTCCCAAGCAGAAGAAAAAGTAGATTTTTAACAACTGGTCCCAGAACAAAATTTACAATTTCATTCACATACAAAAAAGTTTAAGCGAGTCATCTAATTCTGTGACTACTCAATATTAGTTATTTTCACCTCGATAATGTGAATGTGGGCAATCATTTTTTTTTTAAAAACATTATTGGCTAGAAACTCTGGAAAAACAGCTTTTTGAAGCTTTGTATTCATGTTTGAAGAAAATTTCAAAGATAAATTCAAGTCTAACAGTGTTGTAAAATATTTTATGTTTACATCACACCCACTATTGTTACAAACCTTACTACAAGCCAACCTACAATGCAGGCGAGATGTGCATTGATAACATTATTATGGCTAGCATGGCATACATACTTTTTATACTGAAGAGAGAAATTATACTACTACCTCTTTAGCTGTAAGTGTTAGAAATCTGTTATCCAGAAAATCTCACATTTTAAACAGAATTCTATATGCCCAGTTGAAACCTAAGCAGTGACAGGACCTTGCAACACATTTATTCATTTTGACAGCCAAAACAAGTTTTTTCAGACTATTTTTAATCTATTTTGTGTGTGTATCTTCAATAATGTTGACAAGAAGCAAAAATGAGTTTAACTAAACAGATGTGTCAAATGCACATGTGGAAGTAAATGGGAGGGTGAATGTGCTTAGTACAAAACAAGATATAATAACAGGAGGGGAAAGTACAGAGTAGTTAGTACAGTCAACAAAAATTTAAGCAAGTATAACATATTGAAATTCCTTCACAAGCTAGAAGGGATGTTCACTGTATAGAACAAAACTTTGCTCTTACAGATAGATGTCAGTGGGGGACTATTGTCAGCATAACAGGATAAAAAATTCAGCCTTGGGAACTTATTACACATTTGGATAAGTAAGGAACACTATATCACTTGATTGGGAGAAAGCAGAATTTAAAGAGAATCAAGCTTACAACATATTTCAAAGAATACATCATAGGTTCAAAGTGTGAATGAATTCAATTATACTAACAAAGGAAGCTCTCTGCAAGAACAAATGCCATCAGCCCCCATCTTTTCTTCCAACAGTTCTTTCATTCTGCCCTCTGCCCCATTTTCAAGTTCTAAATCGCCTGTTTAATAGATTAAAGAGTTTAGATATAAATAAAGTTATATAAATAAAATGAAAGGGTCACTAAAATATAGAAGCCTTGGGAATACTATATTTGCAAGTCTGTTATTTATAGTTTTTCTTCTTTTCATTTCTGGAATATTTGCTGTAATTTTGTTGAGGATGAAGCGGTATGGTATGGTACAACCTGCCTGGTCTTTGTGCTCAGGTGACAAGAAGTTATTTAAAAGAAGATACAGTGTGTATAAACTTTCCTCCATTAATATACATATTTAAATTCTGTCTCTTCAGGAGTGTCTTGTAAACTATATGTTCGCAAAATCCACTCACATAAGCTAATCTTAGTTCACATGAACATTAGGAATTTTAGTTTATAATACTTACCAAAACATTATATCTAATTTATTTTTAATAGCTATTCCAAAGTGTTAGACATGTAGCCTTATATGTATTTTGATATATGACAGGAGGAACAAGTTTAGTATTCTTTCCTGGTTGAAAATCCAAGAAGAAGAAAGGGGAGAATTACATATAAAGACTACATGTAAGGTGTTTGAAAGCTACTTTGCCGGTACTCTGTAATACTAAGGAGGACTTCTCTGTTATTCAGTTGTATTATGCCACATTAAAAAAAGTCTACCACACCAAACAAAAGAGTGGATAATTAAATTAGATACAAAGGTGCCTTTGCAGAAAATCTGCTTACAGCCCAAAAAAATTACGTGGCTTTTAAGGAAGAATGGAAGGCATACCTGTGTATAAATCAAATTACTAGAAACCTTTTGAACACAGAACAACAGAACAAAATCAGTAAAATGTTATTATTGGGAAAAGTATCCTAACGTGGAAAAGCTATAATTACTGTTGGTTGACCTGGCAATCTTTTTGCAGAAAATTCTACTTATGGACTGGTTGCTGGAGTGAAAGTAGGGGTCCAAGAAGGAGAAAAGTTTAATTTTCTATTAAAATAGAAAATAAAGGCTAAAAGATACCTAATATAAAAAAGTCTAAACTAAAGATAATATGGGTTAAGTTTTGATTTTCAGTCATTCCTCAAATTGTAGTTGCTTTTTTCAAAACAAAACCTAAAAAGGTACATTATGAAGACTCAAAAACCCAAAGTAACATGTTCTCCCCGCTCATGCTTTAAAAACAAAACACCTTACCTTAAAAATCTATCCCTATTAGGAAAACTTCTTAGCTCTCCAAAACAAGAAATTCAATAAAAAACCTCCAAGTTTAAGGTTAAGACAGAGAAACAAAACTCATATAGGAATCTGAAATGTTAACATATGTGAAATGTCCCTGAACCCTTAAACTTGGAGGTTTTTTAAGACAGAGAAACAAAACTCATCTAGGAATCTGAAATGTTAACATATGTGAAATGTCCCTGAACTGCAAATGGTAAAACAGTAAAACTAAAACTTGACAACCTAAAAATGGAAATTAGCTAATTTTTTTTTCTTTTTTCTTTTTGGCTTACTGAGTGTTAACCTCTGATCATCATTTTCATTCTCAGGGTGCCTATTAAAGGTGATGTTGCCACTTTTGAGGACAGACATGTAAGTCATATTTGAGGTATAACAGCTTGGGTGATGTCTCTTTCAACAGAAGCTTATGACTATTTTTTCTTCACCTAGCAAGCCTGAGCAATTTTCTTAAGCACTTAGGGCACGTCTACACAGCAGGGTAAAAGTCAGACTTTTCGGTAACCGGGTTTGGTTCTTTAAAGGATTTGAAACCACAGACAGAGGAATACTTCTTTTTAGGGTCAAACAAAGATTTTTTATTTTTTCTATTTACTTTATAATTAATTTTCCATTTAAATCAATTCACTATTTTTTATTCTTTTAAGACAATAGAATATTCAAAGAAAAAGTAGAAAAACAGTACAGTTAAAAAAACCATAAATAATAACTTCTCCTACAGATATACCCTCCTGATTTACCTTTAAACAATTTATGGAGTTAACAAATATATAATACTCACATTAAGAAAGATAGAAGCATTGTTTAGATTCAGGAGATATTCTTTTCTTTATGTTTTTCCTTTCTTTGGATTTTTCGTTGCAACTTACGACCAGTGTTGTTCCCCTTTTGGAGCTTATGTGCGGCAGCGAGATTCAGCGCCGGGGAGGGAGCCCTGGTTGATCAGACCTAGCTTTTTGGAGTCGCAACTCGTCCACTCTTGGTCTGTTTCAGCCAACCTTATATACCCTGTTTCGGTATTTTGGTACTCCTCTACTCGCCTGACAATTGCTGACATTAGATTTTTGTTGTCTCATTCTGCCCTTACAAAAACTTTCGTCTGCTCCATTTGGGGTAATCAGCACTTTATTGCATACTGCTGTCTGAGTTACTTACTTCCCTAAAAGCGGGGTTATTGGTCATCCAATCAAATTTTGTTTTTATTTTTATCTCCTGTATCTCACAATGCTGCCTTTCCTTTACATTTACAATTAAACTGGTGCTCATTTGAAATATTCTGGGTAGGCCTCAATACCTTCCTTTGACAAGAATAAGCTATGCAACTTCAGCTACATCAATTGCGTAGCTGAAGTTGAAATAGCTAAATTCGGCTTTTGGCGCTGTCTACACAGCAGGAAGTTGAAGGAAGAACACTTTTCCTCCACTTCCCTCACTCCTTGTAAAATGAGGGTTACAGGAATCAGAGAAATAAGTCCTCCAGCTCGCCATTATTTTGAAATAACGGCTTGCTATGTAACCGGCTTTGTTATTTCACAATAACGTCAGTTATTCTGAAATAACACTGTTGTGTAGACATACCCTAAGGGAGCTGGTCTACTGCTTTGCACAGTAGTAGAAATACCACACAGTAGAGACTTTCCTTTCCTAGGAAAATCAGTAAAAGACAGCAAACAACATTGCACCTACCTCTGTTAAAAGCCACAGCAAAGACAGATAAAACATCACTGAACAGCCCCACAAGCTTAAAATTGAAATGCCTTAACTGGACACAAAAACAACTGGTTTTCTAGTGGGTGAAGCCTTTCCCCGTCTTAGCTGTTATACCCCCATAGGAGTGAGACAGAGCAATGTTTTGTATTGTTACAGTGTAGTACACAGCTGACTGCCATGCTAACTGCCAATGGAAGTCACTAAGAGCCCAAACCAGTTCATCATGACCCACGAGAACCACAAAGCCGCATCCCAGAGGAGACAAGCGGGACCCCCCGAAGGCCCGTCTGGGGCAGACACAAAATACTTTCATGCCCAGCCCAGGCCCCGGTGTAGCGCCCTGAGGAGGGGGATGTTCCTGGCCTCCTCCCGCACTTGACGGGGCAGCGCAGGAGATGAGCCCGCGGGACGCACCTCCACGCCCAGGATCACCCAAGAGTCCCCCCGAGAGCTCTGCCTCGTGGGCAGCTCTGGTGCTTGCCCGGCGGGAGGTGGGCGCGCCGCCAGGGGCTGCAGGGCGGGGCCCCCCTCCCAGCG